CGAAGGTGCGCACGGGAAAATCATGGGAATGGTATGGTTTTACAGGTTTACCCTCTGGTATGGAACACCACCTTGTATGGAACTTAGGGCCAACATATGGCTAGCTTAGTCCGATATGTGAGGGTATCACGGGAATAGAATGGATTTATAACTTGCCATACCCTCTGGTAACTTAACTATACGAGCCCCGGCGTGATCCTACACCATTTATTAGATCTTGCGCCGCCAGCCGCATGGCACACCGCTTACGCCAGACATCAATAATCTTCCGCCAGGTGGAAATCTTATTGGCACACCGACGGTCAAAGCGGAATAATTCTGAAGCAGGCAACTCAAATATATCTATTTACTATGCGTTTAATGTACACTTGTTCACCAAAAGTTGACAACCATATGCATGTTTGAACAGTCAGAACTATCATCCTCCGCATGGCACACCAAGTTTCATGGAATTTCCAACATACAAACTTGGATGTGATCAACGTTACATTTCTATGGTTTCAATGATAAATTCTACTTCATGCCAATCAACCCTTTCATCCACTTCCCCATGACACACCGCTGATCGGATTGACTTTCTTTTTTCAGGTCATCTTCTTATGCTTTTGGTTTCTTCCGGACAGCTTCCAGCCCTGTCACAAATTTCTTGGTTCTCTGCCCAAAAACCACGCCTTGCCCAGAAGCAGCAGCACAAGCAACAACAGTAGCAGCAGCAGCAGACCAAGCAGCAGACCATTGCAAAGCCTTTCCAAAACCTCTCCGGGCTGGGTTTTGACTGGCTGCAATTTTAACGAGGTCCGAATCGAACGAGGTGCGAACGAGGTCCGAACGAGGTCCGAAATCAAATTTTGGGAGACTGGCCCCCTAAGTTTCCGGACAAACTCTTTGGTAGCCACACGCTTTTGCATTCTTTTCAGAACAGCAAAACTCAAGAGCCACGACTTTCACCTTTGGGCGTATAGTGGGTAAACCCACAAAGATATGACAGGTAAGCATCGTGTGCCTATGCGAAGTGCCAAAAAATATATCAGTAAGTTAAAGTCATAGGCACCGCCCATGTGGGCCTTTCCCCATAGGCACACCACGATTTGGCACAAGATCTTGTCATCGGCACTTGTTACAACATCGACCCAGTAGCTATTGAAAATGGCCATAGAAATAGTGGATTTACCCATGAATAGCATGGTGATTCTCCATAGTTATGTAAACGTTTACCAGAGGGTAACAGGGATCACGGGATAATTCATTGGGATATACCATAGCGGTGGAAAACGATCACCCGAAGATCTGCTGACTCGGCCGCACTGCTGGAAAGATTCGGGCCCGCGGCTTGGTTAACACCGTCTTTAAATCGGGAGTTCACTCTCAAGGCAAAATAGTGTCCTTTCTTAACTCTGGCATCTTTGCAGTGGTGAGTAGCGTGAAGGCAGCGGAGAACAAATCCAACAGTGGGTCCAACCATAGCTGTCCAGATGTCTTCATCCACTTCAGTTTGCTCAAGCCTTTTTCGGCTAGAGAGATCATCCAAAAGCCTTGGCGAACTTCTCTTTTGCTTGCAAGAAGTCTTGGTGTTGGAATCATTTTATGGGATATTTTTTGGGCCCCAAGGCTTTGGGGCTGCTGTTCTTGGGGCAGCAGGCTGCGCTTTCTTCGCCAGCTCCTGCCGCCGCGTCTGGATGTAGTCTATCTCCTTGGTGTATGCTAGTGCTGTCGTTGCCCAACGCTGTGGGCAGAGTGGAGCGAATGCTCTCATTCTCCAGGACATCAAGACAACAAAAATGGAAGATGGAGGTTTAACGATCAAATATGGGGGAACACATGATAAAACATGGAGATTTCAGCATCACATGACATATGGATTCCACCAACATGGAGGACGATCAAAGACCATGGATATTTTACCATCAAACATACGGAAATGAATGGACAATTGTATAGCTGGTTTGTCGATAGCTAAGTGGTACAGTGAATGCACGATCTATGGTTGGTGGAAACTATAAGTGCTAAAAGGGTCTGATAAAAAACCAACTTATAGCTGGGATATTTCTGGGCTAAAGAAACATCAACTCTAGCTGCCCTAGAAAAATGTCCACTTGCCCAAAAATATGTCCTACTTGGAGGATCATAAGACTTAGTAAGTGGTTAGAACGAATTATACATGGGACTTACAAACTAGGCTTACTAGCTAGGCTTACTTATACATAGGATCCTCTAGGTAGATGATCCTATGTAGACTTAGAAAATCGAGTTTTAAGCCATTTATTACATGGGATACTCTCACGAATTGAAACGACGAATCCGATCTGTGGGAAGCTCCAAGTCGTGGCTTTTTCCAGGCCAGGAATTACAGTTGGTTTTTAACCCCCAATAACTACTTGTTGGTGGTTTTAACCATCCGGAAAAATATGAAAGTCAATGGGAAGGATTATCCCATATATTATGGGAAAATTAAAAAAAGTTTGAAACCACCAGCCAGACTAAAGATATATACCATGAATCCTACGAAACGCGCAGTGATTTTTCCCACCTTGACGATCACTGGGCACCCAGCGGGCAGGATGGACTGGATGGGACGCGGCTCTCCAACACAAACTCCGAGGAGTCTCGGCGCCTTCAGCGGAGGGATCTTCTTTGGCGCCAGGGATGGGGATTTGGTGGTTTTTTGGGTTGGTTTATCATGGTTTATGGGAATCGTATGGTGGGCTTATGGGAATCTTGTGGCGGTTTCTATGGGGTATAGATAGACAAAACTGATTACAAATGGATATATATATAATGGGATATCATTTGATACAATGTTTTGGGCGTGTGTGCAATGGTTGCTTGTGCATTTACCGCAAACACCCCTGGCGGTGGGGCCCGGAAGCCAAGTGAAAAGTCAAGTTCATGGGAACTTTATGGGAGATACATGAGTTTAACATGATTTAATGGGATTGGGATATAAATAAATAAATTATATAAAAAATAAATATGTATATTAAAATATATATTCATGAGTTGACTCTTGCCTAATAGCTGTAACAGCAATCACCACTTAGACCATGGTTTTTGCACGACGATCTAGACCACGTTTTTTTGCACGAAAGACAGCACCAAAAAACAGTTTTTCGTACGAAGGACTGTACCAAAAAGCAGTGCCTGGCGTAAACAAATCAGAGAAGTGGTATTTTTTCACAAACCAGTTGCAGGAATTATTTCATCCCATGGCCATAATTGGCTATAATAATTACATACATACATACATACATACATACATCCATACATACATACATAAATACATACATACATACATAAATACATACATACATACAGACTGACATGACATGACATGACATGACATGACATGACATGACATGACATGACATGACATGACATGACATGACATGACATACATACATACATACAGACATACATACATGCATACAGACAGACATACATACAGACATACATTACATACTTACATACTTACTTACTTACTTACTTACTTCCATGCTTACATTTATACATGCATACATACATACATACATGCATACATGCATACATACATTACATTACATTACATTGCATTACATTGCATTACATTACATTACGTTGCATTACATTACATTACATTACATTTACATTACATTACATTACAAAACATTACATTACATTACATAACATTACACTACATTACATTACATTACATACATACACACATACATACTTTACATACATACTTTACATACATACTTTATTTACACACAAGCATACAAACATACAAACATACAAACATACATACATACATACATTACATACATCATACATTACATACATTACATACATTACATACATTACATACATTACATACATTACATACATTACATACATTACATACATTACATACAGTACATACATTACATACATTACATACATTACATACATTACATACATTACATACATTACATACATTACATACATTACATACATTACATACATTACATACATTACATACATACATGCATACATGCATACATGCATACATGCATACATGCATTACATACATGCATACATGCATACATGCATACATGCATACATGCATACATGCATACATACATACATACATACATCCATGCATGCATGCATGCATGCATACATACATACATTCATTACATACATTACATACATTACATACATTACATACATTACATGCATACCATACATACATTACATTACATTACATTACACTACATAACATAACATTACATTACATTACATAACATTACACTACATTACATTACATTACATACATACATACATTCATTACATAGATACATACATACGTACGTACGTACGTACATACATACATACATACATACATTACATACATACATACATTACATAGATACATACATACGTACGTACGTACGTACATACATACATACATACATACATACATACATTACATACATTACATACATACATACATACATACATTGCATTGCATTGCATTACGTTACATTACATTACATTACATTACATACATACATACATACATTACATACATACATACATACATACATACATATATATATATATGGGTAAATTATAATTTTTCACTTCCCTGAATTTTGCAGCCATTTGGGGATGATTCCCCTATAAAAACCATGATTCCAGCGAGGGAGAACAGTGAGGTCGCTATAATTTACCCAGATATATAGTTACTCTACAGTTATAGCCCTCAGTTATGGCCATGGGATGAAATCAATCCTACAACTGGTTTTCAGTTGGCCAGTTATAACTGGCTATAATATATATATATATATGTATGTATATATATATATACTGTATACATAGAGCCACTGATCCTGTCTCCTTGCAGCGGCACCTGTACAAGGATGAGGCCGGTGAACCAGATCGATTGGAGGCCTCAAAGGAGCGGCAGAGCAGACGAGACGCGGGAATCCCAAGGTTGCGCAATCAATTGGCTACCCGTTATCTACCTGTTTGCTATGGAAACTTGTTCATTTATAGTTTATTTATGATCAGTTACCTACTGAACATGGTGATTTTCCATAGCTGCGTTCAATTGACAGAGGGTACATCAGGAAAAAAACATCGGAAATGGGGGAGATTAGATGTGGTAATGTGAAACCACATGATGACGAAAGTGAAATTGGGCAATCTGGGAAATTGGGAAATCCCACGCTTCAGGAAACAACATCCAGTTTGATGGAAAAACTGGATTCACAAAAAGATCCCATTCCCCGCTTTGGAAAATCACTAGAAACAACAACTTCATGCGAAACAACTGTTCGATGCAAACAACTTAAGATGTAGCTCGAACAAATGTGCCATGCATCTTTTTCAAAAGAAACAACGTGGCGAATGCCCCTCCGGAATCGGGTTCCGTTATACCCAGGCAAGTCCAGCATCTATCAAGTACATCCCCATCTTTATGATAGTGAACACTAACAAAACTGATGGTTAAATCCCATTCAAATCCCATTCAACCGAGAACCCAAACGTTGTCAGGAATGAAGAGGGACATGTTCAATCGACCTGCGCGCCCAGTCATGGTGCCACGATGTGCCAAAGTCGAACTATGGAATCAATGGCGTATGGTCATCCCATCATTCTCAAGAAATGAGCATCATACATCAGAATCGGTACCCTTCGGTAACCTCACGTAGCTATTGAAAAAATCCCTGGTCGATCCCATCAAAACTGGTGATGTTCCATAGCTATGGTAGTTGACCAAAGCGCATATTAAGCGTTATCATTTGAAGGATGATCATTCTCCAGTAAATACATGTGTTTAATCCGACTTTTGACACGGGGCTTGCGGAGTCAAAGTCCACAGTCATCCAACCCCAGGCCAAGGTGCCCCTAAAATTGGGTGGTTAATACATGTTAGTACCACAACAGACCTGGGTGGTACTGTACTCATTGATTTTTGATGGATTCACTATGGTTTTCAAAACTCATTGATTCACATTTTTGATACGATTACTGGTTGATTGTTTCAACCAGTCTGAAAAAAATAGTCAGTTGGGGCTATTCTTCCCTATATGGAAAAATAAAACATGTTCCAAACCACTAAGCAGGATTATTTCCATCATGCTACTCACAATATGTCAAACTCATTGGTTCACTATGTTTGATCCATCCCCAGCTGGTTGCGAAGAAAAAACACATATCGTCACTAGGAAAGCGTAAGTGCTTGTTTTTTGAAGATGAAATAACCAAAGACCAAAGGTGGGTCTGTAAACTAACAAACATAACTAAATTTGAAAAAAGGAAGAGATATCCACCATAAATCCCCTATAGATTTCTAATTATAAGTGATAACTAGGAGGTACTTCTGTGTAAATGTCCACTTGCCGCCATTTTTGATGGTTAAATCATACTAAATCACCATCCTTCATAGTTGGCTATATCAGGTGTTATAACTCATTATCTTTCACTATTATAATCGTTGTTATAGTCTACGTAATTTCATCCCACTAATAACTGTTTCTTATTCAATCCCAATATATAATTTATATCTCAGGGTTCTTTTTTTCCACGATTCTACGGTTCTTTATTATCCCAACGGTTCATTCAATTTGTTGTGGAAGCTCGTACAGTAAAGTCACATTGGAATAACATTGTCTAGATGAAGCAAATGCAAACAAGACACGTGGAGAGGTATTCCCCCTCCAGCGACCGGACATATCTTAGCAGCTGTAACCCGATGAACTCTTTGAATTCACCGAAGTTGACCGTGATGCGGCCCACTATCTCTTGCATGCACTGAGACCAGCCTATAAGGCCTTGCATAAAGGCCCAGGCAGTGCTGACATATGTGCGCCAGTCGTTGCTCGATGATTGGAGGATCACAACCTTGACTGGCTCCAACTGAACCACGTATGCTTCCCTTCCATTGGTCTCCCAAGTATAATGTATGGGATCTCCCCTCCAATGACATCGTCAATCACTTTGGAACTCAACCGAAATGAGAGGCTAGAGTCATATTCACCAAGCACGCACGTTGAAGGCAAGACATCATCAGGAGGTACATCAATGGGAAGTCCCTGTTCAAATATTAAACACTCCCTCAGAAACCATGATTCAATAGGGAAATTCCACATTCCATTGGGACCATTTGGGGGTTGTTTAATATTAGGGGGAAGGGATTATTATAATCCACCTTGCAACCGTAGCTGCGTTCTTTGAGATCCTCCGGTCGACGGACTTCAACCGACCCGCACCTACGGGACCGCCCGGGCTGGACGCTTTCGAAGGCGACCTGGTCCGCTGGGTTTGTAGTAACCGTTAGTAACACCCAAAGAGATGCATTAAAGCAGGGCTATCTGACTAGGGTTATTGAAAAAGTTCACCTACTATGTGTACATTTATCCCAATTGTAGGATTTGAAGGTTCTACGAGTATTTTTTTGCGGGGTTGCTGATGTACTTGGATCCATATATAACGGGAAACACATATGTATATGTACACTTAACCATAGTTAGCCTAGCCATAAGCCAGCTGCAAAGTGGGAGCCCAGTTGTTACAACTTGATTGTCATAAAATGTTATAAGCTGTTGCTATAGACATCCCGAAACCATCATAATCCCGAGTTATTTCGGAAAATTAGATATCAGTCTGATCCACTGGATCTTCTCCAACCGATCCCGAAAATCCCGACACCCGTCCAAAGGTTTTTGGTCTTTGCCATGTTGTTTCCCAAAGATCCAAGTAATTTCGGAAGACGTGGGTTTCATGAGTAAATTTGAGGTATGGTCATCCCACCATCAGTGGAGATTGCTTACCATCCTGGGTAAAGGAAACCCTGCCAAATCCTGGGTGTCTTACCAAGGACCAAAAGAGGACTCATTTGGCATGGTGCTGTTACAAAAAAACATACATTTGGGGAGTCAATCATTTCTAGCAGTCATGTTGCAAAAATAATCGAACATACCCTTTTTTCCATCTTTTTCAATGGAAGCCTTAAGTCCTTAAGTGCAAGGCTGTATATATCTGGTGCTTTTCACCTCTTTGCTTGTCACACCCATATTCGTTGATGAAATCCCGACCACGATCATAGGAACCCATCCACAAGCTCTTCATTTAGTATGTTCTTTGTGAAATGTGCACCCTAAACAGAACCTGCAGAAATCTATGGAAAACTATGGAAAGCTAAATCCTACTAAAAAAACTAATCAAAACTAAACATGTCCAGCCTATCCCACAACCCCAAAGCAAACACCCTGGTCTGCAGCAGCCACTTCATTTTCAATCCACACCCTTCCAATGGATCAAGTCCACAGGCTGCCATCATCGATCTTCCACCTGTCAGGTTGGCACCCATGGATGGGAGTGGCAACTGCACATCAAAGACCATGACAACACAACCATGTACCTGTACCTCAAAATTCATCTTACCTCAGACCCCTTCCCATCTCCAGCAGCCAACCCCTCTCACTCACTCCATCTAGGTGAAACTCATTCACCCCTCACCAGTGCCAATCCTGCTCAGCCCATAAGCCAGGCCAGGCTCGTCACTTCAAACTCAAATCTCAAGCTTCTGTGGGAAGGGTGGTTTGAATATTATCCTGGGATAAAAAAATGTTGTAGATTGATGAGTATTTGGGGTCGGAGTAGCTATGGCAAACAAATACATCAAACCACCCTTCCATGCAAAACATCCACCAGCACTCAAAGACTCAAACCACAATCACAGCAGTGCAGTGCAGTTCAGTTCATGGTGATCTTGCAGGAGCTCTGCATGTGCACAAGTTTTTTGGCCTAGTGTTTATTATGCATGCTGTGTAGGCGTATGCGCCTGTTGGTGTATTAAAGTATAAAAAAAGGAAACAAACACCCCCCAACAGAGGGAAACAGCACTT